CATTGAATCAAGACCCAAAATCAATTCTCACAATTGGCTAATAAATAGTAAATTGAATACTAATTTTGACCACTGGGCAAGGAAACATAAATTCTTAAACTAAAAATGAAAAACAATTATTACTTGTTGTATGATTAACAATAATATTATACTTTACAGTTTGAAGAGGGCCCAGCACTTGGACCTTTGTAATCATCGGTTAAGATAAATTCAGTTTTGGTAATTAATGACTTTGTCAAGTCTTTATATTTTACTATTTCATGTTTAAAAATGTTGAATTCTGCTAAAGCCGGTGCTAGGGGGCGTGGACGGTAACTTTTGCACTTTCCAGTAACCCGGTCCATGAACCAGGCTCAATTTCAAAACCGGAGCCCTGCAACAATTTTTCAAATTTTGTCGTGTTGGGTTTCTTTAGGGATTCTGTATTTATTCTATTTTTAATGGTCCAACAATCCGTGTTATTTGTGCCGTGTGGCGGCTGTAAAAAAGTTTCCCCCGTACATTTAATCAATGATATTATATTTTCCGTTCAGCAACGACATTATTGTTGTGCTAGTGGTAATTTTTTAGTTTAAAACTTTTCGGCATTTTCTAAGTTGGGTGGTTCCAATATTCCTACTTGAATACAGTTGAATCACCCTTAGGAATATGTTTGCCTGCTTTTTTAAATTTGTCTTTTGACGTCTCATCTGTGATATTGCAGGCTTCATAACCTCTGATCCCTTATTTTTTTAAAAATTTCCATTTTAATTTTGGTTCCGCCCCATTTGTTTTCCCTCGTTAAAGGGGACCACCTTTTTATTACTTGGGGACCTAATGCCGCTTTTCATGGAATGGCACGGAAGTTGTCACATTTTTGAAGGTCTATTGAATAACCCCCGTATAGCACATCTGCGATGTTTCTAAATTCCCCAAATTTTTACTATTTTCATGTTTAAAATCGTTGAATTCTGAATAAAGCCGGTGCTAGGGGGCGTCGAACGGTAAACTTGCACTTTACAGTACCGTTTCCATGAACGGCTCAACAAAACCGAGCCTGCAACATTTTCAATTTTGTCGTGTTGGGCTTTTTTTAGGGATTCTGTATTTATCTATTTAAAACACTAAAAACCATTTGGGGTGTTACCATGGATCTTCCAGAATTTAAATACAGAAAATGTTTGGGGAATACTTGGAATTTACTGGGTTGAAGGGGTACTCAAAAACGAAAATTAATCTTTTAATGGATCTTGACTGATATAACAATTGAAAACACTTGAAGAGGAAGATAGAAAACATACTTATATCCATTTTCGGCATCCCTGGTTTCATCCCAGTACAGGATCTCATCCGAAGGGATTTGAGTATTGCTCTGGTCGGCGCTATATGGTGTGAGAGATATTACACTTTCCTTTGCCTCTCGTAAATAGACTGTGTAAAGCCCAGTCTGCAATTTCAGAGCTAGTATTTGTTTATGCTTTAATAACTATCGTGGGATCTAATCTTTTTTTAATTTTAATCAGTTTTAACGTATACCATTTCATAAAACAAAAGGCCAAAGTTATACATGTACGTTTTCCCAAACCTAGTGCAATAAACGTTTTTGATAAAATCTAAATCGTTTTTGGCATAGTTGACGCCGTTTCTGGCACCAAATGTATTAATCAATTTTCTAAATCAACTCATGTTTAATACCGTTTATCATACAACTGCAGGTGCAAATGCTATGTTGTAAAAAGTTGCTCCGTATATCATCACTTCAGTATAGTTTTATTTTGTTCTGGTCCTTTCTCGTTATTGACTTTATTACTTTAATGTGTTGCAGTTTTAATGACGTTAATGACGGTGCCCCGGAACGTAAGTGATGTTACACTTTACTTTATTTCATGAACAAATTCAAACAAATAAAGAAAAACGTTTCCCTAAAGAACGCCAAAGAATATAAAATTAAAATGATGCATGCTCCGTTTGATTAAACCTGTCCATGGAAAGTGCTAGTTACCGTCCACCCCTACTAGCACCGGCTTAAGCAAATTTCAAAATTTAAACTCGAAAATAGTAAAACTTTGAATTTAGAAACATCTGCATATGTGCAAGAAGGCGGCAATCATGGAACCTTCGACATAATACTTTTGTGTCATTCCGCGATTCATAATATATGTTTGCTTTCAGCTAATTGTAATGAATGTCGTTTTTTATCCAACTTACTTTTCATTTTGATCATAAAATAGAGAGAATATGAATCTCTAAAGAAAATCCAAAACGGCAACATTTGTTGCAGGCTTTTTGCTTTGATTGAGTCTAGCCTGTTCATGTACGGGACTGTCAAGTGCAAACTACCGTCCACGCCCCCTAGCACCGGCTTAAGTGAATTCACAATTTAAACATGAAATGGTAAAATGTTGAATTTAGAAACATTCGCCGATGTGTTCATACGGCGGTTATCAAGGAACCTTCAATGTGACACCTCCGTTCCATTCCATGCAAAGCGGTGTATGGTTTTGTAGTACACATTTTGTTTGTTGTATTTTATTTGTAGTACACTTAATATTAAAATAGCCGATCAAATGCATCCACATTTTTGTGCATTTTTTTAGATAGGATAAGGCATAAAATCCTTCTATTTCAAAAAGCCTTTTGATGATTTGTTCCTTTCTGTCATTATACTTGTAGTATTTTCACTTTAACCATTCTTAAGTCGCCGCCTTTCCTCGTTGATCTTATTTATCATAGGTTTTTTCATTTTAAGGTATTAAAAAAACATTTAAATTGTAAACACTTTAGTATTAGATGGTTTTAAAATCTCATGAAATCTAGGCTACAATTTACTTTTGTTTCAATTATACTGTGTTTTATTTTAAAAGTACTTCAAAATCTCTGATCCCCTTTCAAAATTCCATTTCATTTAGTTTCGCCCATTTGGTTCTCGTTTAGGGCACTTTCATTTTTTCACTTGGGGACAATATGCCACTTTTCAAGGAATGGCTCGGACTTATGACATTGAACGTTCCATGTAAACGTCATATGAACACCTGCAGGTCATTGTTAAATCTGCATTACACACATTTGAGCCATGTCACGACAAAACCAACATAATGGGTTTGCTACCAGCATGGATCCAGACCAGCCTGCGAATCCGCGCAGTCTGATCAGGATCCATGCTGTTCGCTTACAAACCCTATAACAAGTAAAGAAACTGATAGCAAACAGCATGGATCATGATCAGTCTGCGCGGATGCGCAGGCTGGTCTGGATCCATGCTGGTCGCAAACCCATTATGTTTGTTTTGTCATGACACGGCTCATTTGTGAAACGACGTGTATTTTGACTAAATTCTTCAATCACAGTTATAGTTTACATATAGTTATGACAACAGCAACTACAACTACAACCACATGTTTAGGTATTACATCTACACATGCCATTTTAAATATAAAAGAAACCATTCAATAATGAATTATGAGAGACTATGTCAAGATATATATTATGAATATGTTCAGTACAGAGGTAGAATTAGCTATTTTTCACATTATATAATTTTTAGTTTTGTTTTGCCAAGCACATTTGGTTATATAAGCTTATAAACGCGAGGTGTTAATACCCTAAATTTAATGATAACGAAAAGTGTATGTAGGTATTTTTTAAGAACATATACCCTTAACTGAATGATACTGAAATTTGTGTGTAGTAATTTTTAAGGACATCTTTACCTATCTAAGCTAAACGTTTTGCATAATTTATATACAATCAAGATACTATCACCAGTTTTATAACATATCATGCGGTTTTACTTCAATGTTACATTTTATTTCTTTTCTCCTTATCTATTATTTAAATGTGCTCCTCATAGATATTGTGGTTTATTTAAAAAAAGAAACATTTTTAACCCTGCTGAACATTATAAAATGGGACTGAACCTGGTCCGACTGCACGGATGAGTATGCTAATCTGGATCAGGTTCATCACTTTCGGTTCCAACAGTGTACATGTTAATTAATGTCTTATAAAATGTAACGATATCGTCTACTGAAAAAATTTGTTATTCACCAGTAGTTTGATAAGGTATCAAATGACAGTGTACATATTTCTATGGAATTTATGTTTCATTCGTGTAGCACATCAGGTTTAAAATATGATCATGCTTGTGTCAAATAGGATTAGGATTTATTTGTCCCGTACTTCACTTCATTGTTGTTATATTTGTCTGGTCCTTCGGGATAATTGATGCCAGCACTATTAAGTGTTGATAATTGAGTACCGCTCAAGGCGGTGCTAGGGGGCGTGAGGGATGTTCCACTTATTCATTATTCTTCATGTACAGACTCAATCAAACCGAGTCTGCAATTTTCATGTAATTTTTTTGTGATTAATGCTTCTGAGGGATCACTTTGTTTCCAGATTTTTGTAACTGTTCACATGAAATAGAAATATGTTTATGATACACAACAATACAACAAGGAAATTATGAAGTAAGTTGCACTAGTTTGGAAGGCAGAGCCACTTATCACCTAGTGGATACACGAACAGTGATTTATATGTAGTGTGTATCTATCAAAACAGTACAAACTTTCATTCAGCTTTTATTTAAGATAACAATATGTACAAAAGCAATTTTTTCCTTTTTTATTTATTTTTTTATCTTTCTTTTATCTCTCCTTATCACATTTTTCTTGCATTTTTGGCCAGTACTTCAGAACATGACAGGTAATTTATTTCCCACTCCAAAGTGTGATAAATCATTTTTTTTCCAATAAAGATACAGTTTTTAATTTAAAAATGAAAAACAACTAGAAAACAGTGCAGTGTTTGACCTTAAAAATCAAAGTTTGACCATATTTTGTTTTGAATATAAGGTTTAATCAGCGGTAAGATTATTTTGATGATATGCATTCCTAGATCCACTGGTATTAGGGTTTCCCGGGTTTTTTCTATTGACATATGTATACCCTTGTTTAGTTAACATAATATGAAAAACACGGCGTGTTTAACTCCTATTTCTATTAAGAGTTACGTTGGAATTTTTCAACGTTACGTTCATTCTTTGGAGATCAAATAAAATTTGTTCATTCCGCAAGTTTTAAACACGGATATAAAGTTGTTGCTTTGTTCTGTTTATATGATAATTTAACCATCAACGTTTACCTCATCTCATACCACATGCAAGTATTCTTTATAACTATTTCGTAGTGTTTTCTCATTCATTATTATAGCATATATTAATTTACCATAGACTGTGAAAAGCAATGATCATTAAGATATTTTTAAGGTACCAAGACTTGGATAAATTTCAAAAATTAAGAACTTTCAAGCTTCAACTGGTCAGTACATACGATTTTTCTACACTTTATAAAACACTTTTGCCACAATAATTAATCAATGATAAACGAATTTCCTAATTCAGAAAACTTTTGCACGGGAAAAGGTTACCTTTCTAGCATGTAATTCTAACAAAGCTTTTTTACTAACGGTATTGTTAAACATTATACTATGTGGACCTGTGACGAAGTTTGTAGAGCACTCTCTTTTCTTTTAGACAACATTTATGTCAGGTTTGGTAATACCCTATTTAAAAAGATCATAGGAATTCCAATGGGTGCTAATTGTGCACCCCTGGTCGTAGATTTGTTTTTGTACTGCTATGAAAGAGACTTTATGTTAAGTCTCTCTGAAGATAAACAACAAGATGTTATAGTCGCATTTAATAATACTTTCAGATACATTGATGATATTTTTAATTTGGATAATTCTTATTTTGATCAAATGGTTTCTGACATTTATCCGCACAAACTACAACTTAATATAACGAACTCTTGAAATTTTAGTACATCATTTTTGGATATTCATATTACTATCAACAACAATTCTATTCTGATAAAAGAGATGACTTTGACTTTTGTATAGTTAATTATCCACACTTAGATGGAGACGTACCCATGCAACATGTTACGGGGTATATGTTTCTCAGTTGATTAGATTCGCTAGAGCTTGTAGCAATGAAAAGGATTTCAACGAGCGGAATATTTTTATTACCAGCAAGCTTCTAAAACAGGGCTACCGCTTCATAAATTACAGAAATATTTTTACTAAATTTTACAATCGTAATTTTGATTTAATTTCAAAATTCAATAGTGATTTAAAAACTCTTTTGCGACAAGGGATTAGCCAGCCTGGTTTTTATGGCGATGTGATTTACAAACTTCGTAAGATTTTGGGTCATGGTAATTTTTCTGCTGTTTTACTAAAATCATTAAACGTTTTATAAAAAGAGGTTATGACCCTACTTTTTAAGACATACTGCATACTTAGTGTTCAACCATTTTACAGTTGGACACCACGCTTTCCTCTTTTGATTACATCTGACGGACCAAGTGGGAGACTCTACGATGGACAGTTCTTAAAGCCCTTTGGGACTGAATTGTCGTAATGTTCGTCTTCTGCCTTGCTTCGTCGGGCCCTTGTAGGTGATTTTCTTGTTGCTCTGTCTTCCTTTAGGACATAAAGTACTTTTGGTATGGTCTTCGGGTGTACTTTTATATGTTTCTACATGATCATTTTGGTGTTTTACTTATTTAACCTTTTGTAACCATAACAACTTTTAGAATTTCACTTGGCGGGGATTCATTTTAATTACACTGTCTCGTTTATAGGAACATGGTTGGCTAAGAGCGAGGTTTGGTGCACCATTAACCGGTTTAAACTCACCAGCATTCATTTTTATGCCGCTGACCTTTCCAAGGCGGTGCCCCTCTCTGTTCCTCAGATGTATGTCTATGTTGTTTCATACTGTTTTGGTGACACTTTTTCTTGTGTCCCTTGTTGTTTTCTCGTCTACGGTAAGTATCTTCCTATGTGCCCTTTGACTTTGTGGGCCTGTTGTTCGATCATTTATTTGTTTTCTTTGAATTCCTTATCAGTTACAAATTATGTATTCTTTTAGTGATTTAACTGTCCGTGCCCTGTCCTGTTTTTCGTTTGCGGTCCACCTGGGCTCCTTGCCACTGGCTCTTGTTGCTGGGTCGTGTGGGGGTTGCGTTCATTGAACGCCACCTTTCCTTGTTGATCTTTTTTATCATATTTTTGCCCCTTGCCACTCACCTGTGGGATCAAGTCTTGTCATGGACGACTTGGAATTCTTTTATATGATGAAGATATCCAGCTAGCTTATTGAAGATCGGTTGTTCTACTCAGATGTCCGTTTGTGTCTGAAGTAATGCACGAAGGAGCACATGAGGTCTTCCTTCAACAGTAAGGATGCAAAGATGCCATATGACCTTTAAAATGTTGATATGACATAAAACCCAACAACAATAGAAAAATAATTTTTCTACTCATTTTATCAAAAATTCTATTTTTTTTATCTTTTCAGAACTATGTCTGTAAGACGATTTTCCTTTTTCCTATACATGCTTTGTCCATTCATCATTCAAGTTGGAACCAAAAATGTCACGTGCCCTGCCTCATGTGAATGCGACACTTTCTTTGGAAAAAAAGAAGTAGGTTGTGCTAACCTCACTGATGTTCCGTCAAATATTCCCGAGGACACCAATTTGCTAGATTTAAGTGGGTGTAATATATCCCACATTCATATTCAGCCGCTGGAAAAGCTCTTCAAATTACAAATCTTCACCTTTCAGGAAATAAATACAAATGATGAGAATTACAATCTTACAGCCTTGGACTTGCCACTTCTGAATGAAATAGTCGTCGATGGCGGCGTTTCAACTTCTATCCCACAGCTGTTACCATCTTATATTGGTACGCTTAGTGTTGCATATAACAATCTAGGAACACTAAAGTCTGGTAGTTTTAAGAACTACCCAAACTTAGAAACGTTATTATTGTGGGACTGTATGTTAATGAAATTAGAAGCTGGTGTGTTGGATAATATTCCTTCTCTTTCAACACTTGAGTTTAATAGAAACAATCTAAAAGATGACAGTTTTCCGTTGGGCGTATTCAAGAAAAACCAAGCACTTGACTCTGTTTCATTTTTTGCAAATGAATTGAAACACGTAGTGTCCAATCTTCCAAGTTCTGTTACAAGTGTCGATTACAGCGCCAATACCATATTTGAGCTTCGAGCTTACGACTTCAAATCTACGCCGAATCTGATATACCTGTATCTTCAACAGAATATGGTATGCAAATTTCTTTTAATATTAAAATGTCATCGTTGTTAGTTATACATGTATATAAAACCAGGCAAATATAACTCGCAAAACAAACAAACAAACAAACAAACGAAAACGCGAACAACCATAGAGATATTGCAGATATCGTAATTTCCTTATTTCATACCAAACAACAGCCCACAAACGTTATGTTTAAACCAGAGTTGCATTTGATGGGTTAGACATACTAATCTCGTTGGATTTGAGTTACAATAACATCAATAAATTATAGCATCAGTGTAGTTGAAACTTATTAATTTTATTGCTTCAAATACACGTTAAAACCAGTGAACAAATTATATCTACATATATATACAGTAAGTAAATTATGAGAGGGGTAACATGTTCTACTAACATTAGATTAAGTCCGTCGTAAGTAATGTACCCAAAACAAAAATGAATCTGCATACATATAAACATAAAAATCTTTAAAAGTGGAGATCCCTCGAGAACAGTGAGGGGAAGTATTTTAAATATGTAAATTACAAACTCGGTTTAATTGAGTCTGATGGGAAGGGTAACGGTTTTCACTCCCCCTAGCACCGGCTTTAGCACATATCAATCTTCAACACCATTTAGTTTTAGAATCAGTGAGTGACCGCGAAGATGTAGAAAATTTCATAAAACTGAAATTAAGTAGGAACAGCTTATTACTACTGCCATACACCACTTGACATCTGGTGACCCAGGATATTTCATTGAATTTATTCAGACAGTGGCATTCAGTGTTGTGTTAAAGATAAAAAGTTAACAGCACTTTGTTAAGAGTCTCATATATTTATTGTATCCACATCAAAAGTAAAAAGCATCATATTGATAGCCAATACTATATGAGCTATTACGATACTTGTAATATATAAGTATTGATGAAAATACAGATCAGGACTCAATAGACCATATTGTTTTACCAGACTCCGTGTTCATCAGAATAAATCAAATAATTACCATTGTCCTTCCTCATAGATTAGATATCAACTTGAAAAAACTGTACTAGAAATAGCATGCTTAGAATAAATTCATTGTTACATTTGCAAGGAATGGGAATTTACAGTTGATCTAAATACCGATCTTGATTCTAAAATTGATTCTTATTTTAATCCGTTATTTTGGTATCTGTTTTGTTATTCGTCCATTTCATGCAAAAATAGATTTTCTTTTTTGAATAGAGAAAATATTAATCCCTTACGAAAATCCAAAATGTCAAAATTGAAAATGTTGCAGAGTCGGTTTAATTGAGCATGTACAGTGCAAACTACCGTCCATGCCCCTAACACCGGCTTAAGTAGAATTCAACATTTAAACATGAAATGGCAAAATTTTGAATTAATAAACATCCGCAGATGTATTCATATGGCGGTTATCATGAAATCATCATTTTATTACATTTTGAGTATGTACCATTTAATTTTAGCAAAATTTAGGTCATTTTGAGTTTTATTGCACAGTGAAAATTTAGACAGGATCAGTTAATCCTGATATTTTCTAAGTGAACACAGGGCCTTCTACACTATGCATTTTCATTAAAATACGATATATCCATTATCGATTTATTATAATTTATTTGTTCTTCCGCATTTCTGCATGAAGCAGAACAATCACTTTTACATATTATTTTCAGATTAACCAGTTGAAGGACTTTACGTTTGCCGGCTTAACTTCACCTTTAGAGCTGAATTTGTCATATAACTGGATAACAGCCATTGCCAAAGATGCATTCAAATCATTACAATCAAGCAAGATTGACCTCAGTTTTAATAAGTTACAAAGTCTTCAAGCTGAGGTTTTCTCTCATCTTACAAGCAGTGCTAATGTAAATCTGGGTGGCAACTTGTGGAATTGTGATTGTCACCTAAGATGGTTGAGAGAAGCACTAGACAATGCCACTTATACCATTGAGCTTCCGTACACTCTTAAATGTGCAACACCAGTCAAGCTCGCAGGAAAGTCTTTCATTGATCTTAAACCAAGCGATTTTGTGTGTATGTAGGACAAAATTTCATTATTCAAATAGATATTTTATATTTCAAATTTGAGCAGACTTTTATATGTAAATTGCTTAATCAGATAATAATTATGTACTAGACACACGGATTAGAAAACATTGTTCAATGTTTCATACTTCATTTATTATTTTACGCTTTCCAGTCGGAGAGACAAGAGGCAATCTTCATAACGTAAAATATCTCTTTTTTCCGAACCACATTTTGAATGTGTAATACATCAATTACTACAATTTGCATGTTTGAAAACTTGTAAAAAATTAATACAGGCACAACAACATTGAAAAGATATAATATTGTTTTGAACCGAATACACAACTTTGCGAGTAACAATACAATATATTTAGAGTTTAAATTGATCCTGAGTTGCAATAACATATAATAATACTTAAAGTACTGAATAAATGAGGTTTAGAAATTTTGAAAAATTTTGATTGTTGTATTCCTTGTATCATCCGGTAATTTTTTTTGGCCAGTGCTATAGTACGTGAGAGATGTTACACTTTCAGACTACTGAGTAAAGCCTAGTCCTCAATTTTATAGCTAGTATTTGTTGATGCTTTCAAGACAAAGGTCTATGTTCTTCATCATATAGTGCAATTAGTGTTTTTGACATAATCTGAATAGATTTTGACGTCGTTTATGGCATCAAATGAATCGAATTGATCTTTATCAATTTTCGAAATCATCTCATGTTTAATGCCGTTTTTCATACAACTGCAGGTGTTTTTGTTTTGTGGCACTTGTAAAAGTTGCTCCTTATTTCTCTCCAGTATAGTTATATTTTTTATATTTTGATAATTCATTCTAATACTTCACTGTGTTGCTGTTTTGATAACGTTAAGGTAGTACACCCTAATGCACTATCTCCACTTTGAAGAGTATTTAAATAGGCTAGAATCACTGTCAAGTGTATTGAAACACGGTAAAAGTATTTTATATTTTGCAAGACCAACCAATATACATTAAAGAAAATTTAGGCAAACTTTGAAAACAGCCCCTTATTGTGGAAAACTTTTGGGCTTTTGGGATATTTCAATTAAGGCTTTTTATGTAGGGAAATGGTCAAATAAGTGTTTAAAGGGGGTGGGGTAGGGTTACAATTTTTTTTACATATTTAAAACATTTCGTTTAGGAACTATCATTTTGCTCGTTTAATTTGCTACCTGAATGTCATTATTTGTTTCTTAACAATGAGCAATAGGAAAACATTTTTCATAACGATGTTATTACAGATTATTTAGAGTTTCCTGATTTCTGAAAAAAGCCCTTCTAATGGCAAAGTTTTAGTTCAGAAAAATTCCCATAACTCATAAACCACATGGTAAATATTGTTTAAATTTTGCATACAGGTGACATTTAAGGCATATAACTGTCCTATGATGTCAATTTTACATTTCCTCATAGTGTCATTAGGGGTGTACTACATTAATCCAGGTGCCACGGAACGTAGTGTCGTTACACTTTACTCTTTCTCTTAAGAACAAATTCCAGTACCGTCCATGAACAGACATAATAAAAAATGATGAAAAAAAATGAACACAATCCCCACATGACCAAGCAACAAAGGACTAGCGGCAAGGAGCCAAGCAGGACCCCCAACAAAAAACAGGGTAGAGCACAAGGCAAACTGAGCCTGCATTGTTTAAATTTTGCCGTGTTTGCCGTTCTTCGGGGATTATGTTTTCCTCTCTTTCATACAATTTCCGATACATCCCGTGTAAAGCTATATTTTTTACCATGGACATTCACCCTCGACATTATTTTAGCTCAAATGTTTTTTCTTTCTCTGTTAGTTTGTTGTTTTTTGGTTTTTTTTTTGTTTTTTTTTTGTGGGGTTGGGTAATTGTCAACTGTCCTTAACGAATAATTATTTTGCAATAAAGAATATGAATATTTTTATAAAATATATTAAATCATACATATGCATAGTGTGTAGCTGGAATACAGATATAGTTACCCGCACTCCAGAGCATTGGCCCATTTTTTCTGAGGTTAACTTATTTGACAACAGAGATAAGGATAGCGATAGAAATATCGTATTCAAAACCTCGTTCATTGGTTTCTTTTTCTCAGGTTTCAACATTATTGTGACAACATGGAACGTGTTTTACTTTTTGCCTATGAAATAAAAGAGAAAAACATCAAAACACTGAGGAACAAATCAGATAGCCTCGAGTTTCGATGCTCTTTCTAGTATATAACGTTTTCGAGGGCGTTTTTTTATGTCTCACAATACTTTATTTTGATGGTAATATAACATACAGAAGGTAATTGTTAAAACTGCATTATACACATTATGTGAAATGACGTGAATTTTGACTAAATTCTTCAATCAGATTAATAGTTTACATATAGTAATTACAAAAGCAAAAACAACTACAACCACATTTTTAAGTCTTAATCCTACACATGCCATTTAAATTTTGAATATGTTCAATACAGAGATAGAATTAGCTTTTTTTACATTATATCAGTTTTAGTTTTGTTTTGCCAAGCACATTGGGTTACGAGTATATGAGCTTATAAACACGAGGTGTTAAATTGTACATACAGCATACCCTTAATTTAATGATAACGAAAAGTGTTTGTAGGTAATTATTAAGAACAAAACATATACAATTAACTTAATGATAACGAAAACTGTGTGTAGTTAATTTGAAGGACATCTTTACCTTTCTAAAGCTGAACGTTTTGCATAATTTATATACAATCAAGATATTATCGCCATTTTTATAACATATACTTTTGAAACATAATAATACTGCTTTACTATACTATTACATTTTATTTCTCTTCTCCTTGTCTATTATTTATATCTGTCACTCAAAGTTACTATAGTTCATTAAAAAAAATTATTGTTTACCCTTGACCTGCTGAATATTTGTAAAAGATTTATTCCGGTTCCAAGTCAATATTTGAACTGAGCCTGGTAAGACTACACGGATGTGCATGTTAGTCTGGATCTATACTGGTGACAAAGGGTTATCATTTTCAAGACCAACAGGGAACACGTTAAGAATGTCTTATAAAATGTAATAATATGATGTTCAGTTATGTCCAACCTACTCAGTAGTTTGTAATGATATTGAATGACAGTGTACATATATTTTTTGTGTTTGTTTTTTGTCTGATAATTTCTCGTTTATAAATCTACTGAATTGTTAAGCAAAATAAGATGTTTTGTTACATATGATATACTATACATAAATATTTGATACTTATTATTCATTATGTTTGTTCCTTTTCATAAATATTTTGATCCTATTTATAGATATTTTGTTTCTATCTATAGATATTTTGTTACTATTTATAGATGTTTGTTACTATTTATAGATGTTCTTACATGGACGAAGATTAACAAAGGTGTATGAGGAGATAGGTATGGCCGTGTTACCTGACGAGTATCTGCCTGATGATTATGAAGGTCCTAATGTCGGCTCATGTGAGAAAATAGTCGGTATATAGCTTTATTTGTGTATTTGTGTATTAGTAGGACATTGATTCTCGAAAAAAGAAAACAACACAGAATATTTTACCTTCAAGACATATTGTCGAAAACCGTCAGTCTCTCCTCATTAGATAACAGATACAAAGTACAAGTTTGTAAAAAATAAGAAAGGTGAAAATTGGAGAAACACCAATTACCTTAGTATTTCCATGTTGGGCTTTCTTTAAGGATTCTTTTTTATTCTCTATATTATTTTGTTGGTAGAAATTATGGCTATTCAAAGCATTGTTAATTAAAAGTGAGTTTATAAAGCATTCCTGGTCATTCATACAATCTATACATATTTAAAAGAAGTACCAGAAGCGACAGAAAGTATCACACTACCTATAACAGTATATTCAAACTATATTTATTGTATTGAGATGCTTTGCGTATATCACAGTTTTTTCATAAGGAATTCAGCAAACTAATATTGGTAGATAAGCAAACTAAAATTGATAGATAATTATAAATTAATGATTGTTAAAATAATGAAAAAGTTCCGAGAAAATAGTTAAACTAATTCTATAGATATAGACATTTATTGAAGATTTACTGGTAAGTATTTGTGACACGTATTGGCCAGCCTGTGTTCAAGTGTAAAAAGCATCTTTTATTTCCTCAATATTTTGAGAGCAAACATTTTGGAATATTTTGAACAAAAATTAGCTAGTGTGTTAACTCTTTGATTCATTCTACAAAATAGAGTGACACATTTTCAGCGTTTGTTATATTTCATTGCAGTCAAAATGTTAGTAGACATGCAGAGCGATGTTTTTCGTGAATATATAAAACATCTCTCAAGTGACAAATATGGGGTGGACCTAGAAGAACGTAAAAATTGCTGACACACCAGTTGCTTCGTTTAGAAAACTAAATATAGACTTGCAAGATATTACACGTGAGACTCGTGCATTTTCGTTACAAGTATTAAAATGGGATTATTTGCATATCGTATATTATACATATATTAGAATTTGACAATGTTGCGATTAATTTTGTATTATGAAAAGTAACGTATGTCAATAAGGCTGAAAAACGTACCATAATACTTAAATCAATATAACAGGCTCGGAATATTTCAGAAGTTTAAATAGCTACATGAGGTACAAAACGTTACAACTGGTGACAAAAATGATAATGTTGTTAACATTTATGTTCATTATTTCTTATGTCCAGGAAAGATTCAACGATGCAAAATATATGTTTATTTGAATGCAACTTTCTCCTGATTTTTATAATTGTCGTTTATTACGAACCCTACTTTTCATTTGAACATTTGTATTTTTATAAAGGCATGTAGTGAACTTTTATTAAGATTTAAGTAACCGGTACAATATGTCCCATTCTTTTTGCATTTCATTAGATAGGTTAAGGCATAAAATTCTTCAATTTTCAGATAGCCTTTTGATGCTTAAGTGTCTGTTAATGTGTATGTGCTTCTAGTTTGTCCACTTAAACATTCTTTTCAATGTAAAAAAAAGTTACACCCCCCAAAAAAAAATTATACACCTTTTATTGTTTGGTTATAAAAATCTCCTGCGATCTAGGCTATAATTTAGCTTTGTTTGTATCAAACTGTGGCCTATTTTAAATGTACTTTATACTTCTTCCGTATACATACCGTGTCAAACACTACATGATAGAAATTTAAATGTAGGTCAGACGCTAGCATTTATTTTCCCATAGACTTACATTATGAGAGATGGTCACTTATCCCACATTAAATTTGAGCTTTCCTGCTGAAGAAGTGATTTTTCTAGGAGAATGAAATGCCTGACACATAAAAATGACAAATTGAATTGAAATTTTCTGCTGATCACTGGACTGACATGCACTGTTTATTAATGCAAATATCCAAGTAAAAAATAATCATAGAGAATCATGAAATATTTCATTTTCTTTAGAAAACAATACAGTGTTAGATTCTAAATTAGTTTTCATACTTAAAAACATCCCATTTTCTTCCAATCACCTCATGTCCCACTGAATCTTATGGTTTTATGTACAGATTCAATCAAACCATGTCTGCAATTCTCTTGTAATTTTGTTGTGATTAATACTTCCGAGGGATCACTTTGTTTCCAGATTTTTATACTTCACAACAGCAGGTGTCAAGTGCTGTGTGGCAGCTGTAAAAAGTTGCCCCGTTCTTCACTTCAGTGTTGTTATATTTTTCTGGTCCTTCGGGATCATAGATGCCAGCACTATTAAGTGTTGAGAATTGAGTACCGCTCAAGCCGGTGCTAGGGGGCGTGAGGGATTTGCACGTATTCATTATCCCTCATGAACAGACTCAATCAAACCGAGACTGCAATTCTCTTGTAATTTTGTTTTGATTAATGCTTCCGAGGGATCACTTTGTTTCCAGATTTTTTTTCTTTTTCCCTGCACTTTTTTAGCCAATCGCTGGCGATGTTGCAACGCAAAAGTATGACCTGCATTGGTTTTTTTTATTGTTTTAAGTGTATAATGCTGTATCTTATGAAATATTGCTATAAAATCATTCAACAGTAAAATTATATTGCTGAATCTTATGATCCATTCTCGAAAGATTTGTAACATAGAATGCACACGGATAACGTTTTAATTAACAAACATTTTATAGTGTTGAAAAAATAGAAATCTATTTATTTACTTATTTACTTGTTTGTTTGATTATTTATTTATTTATTTATTTTCAAATTAAAGTAATACTCAGTATACAATCAAAAATCATTTATGATAAGTTTATCAATCTAAACAGCAAAACTTTCATTCAGCTTAGAAATACAAAACTTTGTGCAAAAAGCAATATTTTCTATTAATATTTTTTATCTCTTCTTTTTACAGTTTTTTGCATTTGTTTTTGAAAAGTACAAGTAGTTTTAACCGCTCCAAAATGTAAGAAACATTTTTAGTTTATCTGCAAATGAAGTTAATTATAAAGAAACATTTTTTTAGATTTAAAACAAAATAACGGCGCGAGTGTTTGACCTTAAATATATAAAATTCAAGAATGCCATATTTTGTTTTGGTGTTACAACACTTTGTTTCTATATATTGGTTGTTATCAGCGTGAATTATTTTGATGATATGCGTTCCTAGATCCGCTGGTATTAGGCTTCAGGTATTCCATTGATGTATATATTCTTTCATTTCATACATAAATAAAAGAGGAAGTCTTCTCCTATTTCTACAAATAGTTACTATGGAATTTTTCAGGCACGTTACGCTTATTCTTTTAAGATTAAACAAAAGATATTCATTCTGCAAGTTTGAAACACAAAACGGATTATAAAATTGATGAGTATTTTCCAGTTTATTTAATAATTTAACTCATCTCTCATCACATGTAAGTATTCTTTAAAACTATTTCTTTTTTCTCATTATTAAAACATACAATGTAAATTATTTAATTTAGACTGTTTATAACAATGGTCATATATATGATTATACTATCTAAGATACCAAGCATACACCACCTTTTCATCATATGAAAAATATATCTCGAGCCCGATGATTCGAACATTACAATTAATTTATACTGAAATAAACAAAAATGAAGAGTATGTTTAATGAGACGTGCATGGCCGATAGAAGAGCACATGAGACCTTTCTCCACAAGTAAAGCTTATTAACCTCGAACCACTTGCCCTTCACCTCTGGGTTCCTATCTTACTATCAAACTAGCATATGGAATGTCTGTGGCTCTACTCAGGTGCCAGTTTGTGATTGAGATAATGTACAGAGGATCACATGAGGTCTTAAAGCTAGGGTTAGGGTTTACTTCAAACAGTCAAGCTGAAAAGTCGCCATATGACATTTACAAAGTGTCGGCGTGACTTAAACACAACAACAACAACAAGAAAAACATTATATTTATTTTAAAAATTCTGCTGTTTTTATATTTTCAGAACTATGTCTGTAAGACGATTTTCCTTTTTTCAATATATGCTTTGTCCGTTCATCGTTCAAGCTGTAACCAAAAATGTCACGTGTCCTGCCTCATGTGAATGCGATATTTTCTTTGACATAAAGGAAGTAGAGTGTGCTAACCTCACTGATGTTCCGTCAAATATTCCCGAGGACACCAATTGGCTAGATTTAAGCGGGTGTAATATATCCCACATTCATATTCAACCGCTGGAAAAGCTCTTCAAATTACAAATCCTCACCTTTCAGGAAATAAATACAATTGACGAGAATTACAATCTTACGGCCTTGGACTTGCCATTTCTAAATGAAATAGTCGTCGAAGGCGGCGTTTCTACTTCTATCCCACAGCTGTTACCACCTTATATTGGAACGCTTAATGTAGGAGAAAACAATCTAGGCACTCTAAAGTCTGGTAGCTTTAAGAACTACCCAAACTTAGAAACGTTAACTTTGTGGGACTGTATGTTAACGAAATTAGAAGCTGGTGTGTTGGATGATATTCCTTCCCTTTCCTCACTTGAGTTTCATAGCAACAATCTAAACAAAGACAGTTTTCCTTTGGACGTATTCAAGAAAAACCAAGCACTTGACTCTGTTTCATTTTTTGATAATGAATTGAAACACGTAGTGTCCAATCTTCCAAGTTCTGTTACAAGTGTCGATTACAGCGACAATGCCATTTTTGAGCTTAGAGCTTATGACTTCAAATCTACGCCGAATCTGATATGCTTGTATTTTCTACAAAATATGGTATGAAAATTACTGTTCATGTGAAAATGTCGTCATTGTTAGAGATATATATAAAATCATGCATGTAATACTCTAACAACAATCGCAAAACAAACAAACAAACATAGAAAGCATATATTAATATATCTATTTGTCTTTTTCTTACTGCATTGAGGTTTTATTATTAAGTCATAAAATGTCATGTTTAGTCATTTGATTACTAGATTTTACAAGAACGATATTTTTACAAAGGAGTATTAGTAAACGTAAACGACCATGGAGTTTAACTTTAACTCCATTATGGGCCCCTTTTAGTTCTTATTATTTCACTTATTTCATGTCCTTCCCCTTCTTTCACCACCCTTGATTCCTCTACCGGTTTTGGTTCGGTGCACTCTGGGTGCCCTGCTGTTGTAGGGGGCTGCATCCTGTGAACGTTCCCTTTGCCTTGTTGATCTTTGTTCTCGTTTGTTTTCTCAATAAATTAAATCTGATGGAATGTGTAAGTATTCTCACGTCCCATAAGAACGGCTCTGTGTTGTTATATTTTTCTGGTACTTCAGGATCATTGATGCCAGCACTATTAAGTGTTGAGAATTGAGTACTGCTCAAGCCGGTGCTCGGGGGCGTGAGGGATGTTGCACTCATTCATTATCCCTCATGTATAGACTTAGTCAAACCGAGTCTTCAATTTACACGTAATTATTTTGTGATTAATGCTTCCGAAGGATCACTTTGTCATAAAGCAACCTTCAAAACCATTATGTTTTGGCATTAGTGAGTGACCGCGTAGGTCTAGAAATGTCTTGTTTACTAAACTGAAGTTAAGTAAGAGCAATTTTAACACCTGCCACACAGCACTTGATACCTGCTGACCCCATAATATTACGTGACTGAATTGAGACAAACAGTAACATTCAGAATTGTTGTTAAATGTCAAAAGTTAGTAGCACTTTGTTAATATTCTATTATACAAGATAATAATGAACAACATTTCATAATTCTATTATTTTTTTTCATGTTATTAATAAAGTACATCTATTATATTCACTATCCACAAAAAAGTAAGTAAAATATCATATTGATGCATACATATGTGTTTACTACCATTATTAAAATTTGTGTTGGTTCTAAGAGTAGTTTCGAAGTGAATATTAGTATTGATACAAAAATAAATCATATAGACCATACTATAATACCTGTTTCTAAACTCATGCATGTTCATTAATATTCTTATATCATTATACTATCAACTATTTGTCCTTCCGCATTAAATCATGAAGCAGAACAATCATATTTACATAATATTTTCAGATTGCACATTTGGAGGACTTTACCTTTCAAAGCATGGTCAATTTACAAATCCTGGACATGAGTTACAACAATTTATCTGCAGTTACTAATAATACGTTTGCCGGGTTAACTTCACGTTTATGGCTGAATTTGTCATATAATTGGATAACAGCCATTGCCCAAGATGCATTCAAATCATTGCAATCAAGCAGGATTGACCTCAGTTTTAATAGGTTACAAAGTCTTCAGGTTGAGATTTTCTCTCATCTTACAAGCACAGCTAATGTAAGACTAGCTGGCAACTTGTGGAATTGTGATTGTCACCTAAGGTGGTTGAGAGAAGCACTGGACAATGCCACTTATACCATTGAGCTTCCGTACACTCTGAAATGTGCAACACCAGTCAAGCTCGCAGGAAAGTCTTTCATTGATCTTAAACCAAGCGATTTTGTGTGTATGTAGGACGAAATTTCATTATTCAAATATATATTTTATATGTCAAATTTGAGCAGACTTTTATAATTATGTAAAATGCTTAATCAGATAATAATTATGTACTAGACACACGGATGAGAAAACATTGTTCAATGTTTCATACGTCATTTATTATTTTACACTTTCCCGTCGGAGAAACAAGAGGCAATCTTCATAACGTAAAATATCTCTTTTTCCCGAACCATATTTTGAATGTGTAATACATCATATCTAATACTACAATTTGCATGTTTGAAAATTTGTAAAGAATGATACAGGCAAAACAACATTAAAAAATATAATATTGTTTGAACCGAATACACAACTTTGCGAGTACAATACAATATTTTGAGAAATTCTTGATCCTGAGTTGCAATGACAGATAATAATATTTAAAATACTGAATAAATGAGGTTTAGAAATTTTGAAAGATTTTGATTGTTGTATTCCTTGCGCCATCTAGTTAAGGATCTCAACAAAAGAGATTGGAATATTTTTTGGCCACTGCTACAGTACGTGAGAGTTGTTACACTTTCAGACTACTGAGTATAGCCTGCTTTCAAGACAGAGGTCTATGTTCTCCATCATACCGTGTAATAAGTGTTTTTGACATTATCTGAATCGTTTTTGACGTCGTTTCTGGTATCAAATGAATCGAGTATATCTTTTTCAATTTTCGAAATCAACTCATGTTTAATGCCTTTTATCACCCAACTGCAGGTGTCAATGCTTTGTGGCAGTTGTAAAAGTTGCCCCTTATTTCTCTCCAGTGTAGTTATATTTTTTATATTTTGATAATTCATTCCAAAACTTCACTGTGTTGCTGTTTTGATAACGTTAATCCAGGTGCCACGGAACGTAAGTGACGTTACACTTTACTTTATCTCTTATGAACAAATTCCAGTACCGTCCATGAACAGACATTATAAAAAATGATGAACAAAATGAACGCAATCCCCACATGACCCAGCAACAGAGGACTAGCGGCAAGGAGCCAAGCAGGACCCCCAACAAAAAACAGGGTAGAGCACAAGGCAAACTGAGTCTGCATTGTTTTAAATTTTGCCGTGTTTGCCGTTCTTCGGGGATTATGTTTTCCACTGTTTCATTCAATTTCCGATACATCCCGTGTAAAGCTATCTTTTTACCATGGACATTCACCCTCGACATTATAATAGCTCACATGTTTTTTCTTTGTCTGTTTGTTTGTTGTTGTTGTTGTTTTTTTTTTGTGTGTGTTTTTTTTGTGGGGCGGGGTAATTTTAAGTCAACGGTTCTTAACGAATAACTATTTTGTAATAAAGGATATGAATATTTTTATAAAATATATTAAATCATACATATGCACAGTGCGTTAGCTGGAATACAGATATAGTTACCTGCACTCCAGAGCATTGGCCCATTTTTTCTGAGGTTTTACTTATTTGACAACAGAAAAAAGGATAGCGATAGGAATATCGTATTCCGAACCTCGTTCTTTGGTTTCTTTTTCTCGGGTTTCTACATTATTGTGAAAACATGGAACGTGTTTTACTTTTTGCCTATGAAATAAAAGAGAAAAACATCAAAACAGTAAGGAACAAATCAGATAGCCTCGTGTTTTGATGCTCTTTCTATTATATAACGTTTTCGAGGGCGTTTTTTTATGTCTCACAATACTTTACTTTGATGGTAATATAACATACAGAAGGTCATTGTTAAATCTGCATTACACACATTATGTGAAATGACGTGTATTTTGACTACATTCTTCAATCAGAGTAATAGTTTACATAAAGTTTTGACAACAGCTACAATAACTACAACCTCATTCTTTAAGTCATGCCATTTAGAATATAAAAAACTTCCGTTCAATAATGAAATATGAGAGACAATGTCAAGATATATATTATGAATATGTTCAATACAAAGGTAGAATTTAACAATGAAAAATGATATCATATCATTTAAGTTAGGTTTTGCCAAGCGGATTTGGTAATATAAGCTTATAAACGCGAGGAGTTACAACTATATAACCTAAATTTAATGATAACAAAAATTGTGTGTAGTTTTTTTTAAGGACATCTTTACCTATTAAATGGTTAACGTTTTGCATAATTAAAATACAATCAAGACATTATCGCCGGTTTTATAGCATATACTTATTGAAACATAATCATACGGCTTTACTATACTGTTACATTTTATTTCTCTTCTTATATCTGTCACTCACAGTTACTATGGTTCATTAAAAAAAAAAAAAAAAAAAAACTTTTGACCTGCTGAATATTTGTAAATGATTTGTAAATGACTTATTCCGATTCCAAGGAAATATTGGAACTGAGCCTGTTCAGACTGTACGGATGTGCATGCTAGTCAGGTCAAAGGCTTGTTACTTTCAGTTCCAACAGGGAACACGTTAAGAATGTATTATAAAATGAACATAAAACCTGTTCAATGTTTTAACGATATTGAATGACAGTATTTTTTTTGTGTGTGTTTGTGTTTCATATATCAGGTTCAAACCTATGACTTTGCTTGTGTAAAATAGCACAACATGGAAAGTATGTAATATAAAGTACCAGTGTGGAAGGCAGAGCCAATTTTCACTTATTAGACACATATTTTTATTAACACAATAATAGTGTTAGATTCACGAATAATAAATAGAAATTTATTTATTATTTATTTATTTCTTTACATTTTTATTAAAAAAAGTTATTTACTTATTTATTTATTTATTTTTTATTTATTTATCTATTTATTTATTTTTTTTATTTATATTTATTATTTAATTCATTTATTTATTTATTTATTTATTTATTTATTTGTAAATTGACATTCATTTATTTATGATAAGTGTATCTATCAAAATAGCACAAACTTTCATTCAGCTTAGAAATTATATACAAAAATATGTACAAATCAATCTGTTTTGATCTCTTATCTCATTTTACATTTGTTTTGGCTAGTACTTCAGAAAAGTACAGGTAGTTTTTAACCACTTCAAAATATTAGAAACATTTTATTTCATCTGCAACAGAAGTTAATTATAAACATACATTTTTTTAGATTTTAAACAAAATAACGGCGGAGTGCAAGAATTCCATATTTTGTTTTGGTAATAAAACACTTTGTTTTTGTATATAAGTTGTTATCAGCGTTAATTATTTTGATGATATGCGTTCTTAGATCCACTGGTATGAGGCTTCGGGTTTTTCATTGATAAAGGTGTAAATTGTTTAATTTCATACATTAATAACCCGACAAGTCTTCTCCTATTCATATAAACAGTTACGTTGGAATTTTCAGGCTTATTCTTTGAATGTCAAGCAAAAGGTTTTCATTCCGCAAGTTTGAAACACTAAACTGATATAAAGTTGTTGTTTTAACTGTTTATTGGATAATTCAACTACCAAGTTTTAGCTAATCTATCACATGCAAGTATACTTTATAACTATTCCTTTTTTTCTTCATTATTATAACAATATTTTTAAATCAGACTATTTATGAAAATGATCATAAGATATGATCATACTTTCAAAGTAACACGGCTCTATACCACCTTTTCATCATTTGAAAAATATCTCTCGAAGCCGCTGACCTGAATATTACAAATAGTTTGACACTAAAACACACACAAATGTAGAATATTTTATGGGGTGGGGATCCGTGGCCTAGAGTTAAAGATTGTTGTCTTCGAACCGCTGACCCCACACCTGTGGGTTCAAATCTTACCAGGGACTTCGGATTCTTTTATGTGAGGAAGCTATCCAGCTAGCTACTGGAACGTCGGTGGCTCTACTCGGGTGCCTGCTTATGCCTTAAATAATGTAATGTAATGTAATGATGCCTTCCTTAACCGGTAAAGCTGAAAAGTCGCCATATGTCCTTTAAAGTGTAGGTGTGACTTAAACACAACAACATAAACATTTTTAAAAAAAGATATTTTTTTTCATTTATTTTAACAAATCGTCTGTTTTTATTTTTTCAGAACTATGTCTTTTAGACGATTTTCCTGTTTTCTATACATGCTTTGTCCGTTCATCGTGCAAGCTGTTACCAAAGATATCACGTGTCCTGCCTCATGTGAATGTGAAACTATCTTTGGCGCAAAGGAAGTAGATTGTTATAACCTCACTGATTTTCCATCAAATATTCCTGAGGACACCAATTACCTAGATTTAAGTGGGTGTAATATATTCCACATTCCTATTCAGCCACTGGAAAAGCTCTTCAAATTACAAAGGTTCGCCTTTCAGGAAATAAATACAAATGAGGATAATTACAATCTAAGGGCCCTGAACTTACCACTCCTGAATGAAATAGTCGTCGATGGCGGCGTTTCAACTTCTATCCCACAACTGTTACCACCTTATATTAGTACGCTTAGCGTAGCAGAAAACAATCTAGGCACTCTAAAGTCTGGTAGCTTTAGAAACTATCCAAACTTAGATTCGTTATTTTTGTCGGACTGTATGTTAACGAAATTAGAATCTGGTGTGTTGGATGATATTCCATCTCTTTCATTACTTCAGTTTAATGACAACAATCTAAACGAAGATAGTTTTCCTTTGGACGTATTCAAGAAAAACCAAGCACTTGAGTCTGTTTCATTTTTTGATAATGAATTGAAACACGTAGTGTCCAATCTTCCAAGTTCTGTTACAAGTGTCGATTACAGCGGCAATGCCATTTTTGAGCTTAGAGCTTATGACTTTAAATCTACACCGAAACTGATATACTTATCTTCAACAAAATATGGTATGAAAATTACTGTTATGTGAAAATATCGTCATTGTTATATATATATATACATATATATATATATATATATATATATATATATATTATATATATATATATATATATATATATATATATATATATATATATATATATATATATATATATATATATATATATAACCATGCATAAAATACTATTGCAAAACAAACCAACAAACACAGAAACCATAAATTAAAATATCGTTATCTGTTTTTTCTTCTAACTGAATTGAGGTTTTGAAAATTATTAAATTATAAAATGTCACGGTTAGTCATTTGATTACTAGTTTTTACAAGAACGATATTTTACAAAGGAGTAGAAACTAAACGAAAACGCAAACGACTATGGAGTTATTACAATTATTAGAATTTCCCTTGCTCATACCAAGGTCTCCACAAACAACAGTCTACAAATGTTATGTTTATACCAGAGCTGAATATATTACAACGTTTATTTCAGATCACAAATGTTGAAGACTTTGCGTTTGATGGGTTAGACAAACAAATCTCGTTGGATATGAGTTACAATAACATCAATAAATTAAGCAGAAACACATTAGCTGGGTTAACAGGAGCGTATTCACTACATATGAGTAGTAATAACATAAGTGTTGTGGATAAAGATGCATTTACACAACTCGTCTCTTTACATGATCTCAAACTAGACCAAAACAAGGTAAATATTAAAAAGAATCCTCTTGATTAAACTAATCTTATTTTATTGCTTCAAATACACGTAATAACCTATATAAAAATTACAACAACATGTAATATATTGGTTAGGTTACAAGTTCTTCTAACACTAGATAAAGCCCTTCGTATGTCATTACCCAAGAAGAAAATTGTGTCTGCACACAAATAAACAAACAAATCGGAAAGAAGGGAGATCCCTCGAGAGCAATGAAAAGAAGCAGTTGTCCCTTGTCCCTTTAATTCCCTTATGGGCCCCTTTAAGTTTTTATCATTTCACTTATTTCATGCCCCTCCCCTTCTTTCGCCACCCTTGATTCATCTACCGATTTGTTTCTGTGCCTTCTGGATGCCCTGATGTTGCAGCAAGGTGTTGGGGGGCTGCGTCCTGTGAAGGTTGCCTTTGCCTTGTTGATCTTTGTTCTCGTTTGTTTTCTCAATTAATTACATGTGATGGAATGTGTAAGTTTTCTCACGTCCCTTAAGAACGGCTCAGTGTTGTTATATTTTTCTGGTACTTAGGTATCATTGATGCCAGCACTTTTAAGTGTTGAGAATTGAGTACCGCTCAAGCCAGTGCTAGGGCACGTGAGGGATGTTGCATTCATTCATTATCCCCCATGTACAGCTTTAGTCAAACAAAGTCTGCAAATTTCATGTAATTCTGTTGTAATTAAGTCTTCCGAGGGATAACTTTGTTTCCAGATTTTTAAGCATAAATCAACCTTCAACACCATTATGTTTTTGCATCTGTTAGTGAACGCGTAGGTATAGACAAAAAACAATTTACTAAACTGAAGTAAAGTAAGATCATTTCTTAAACCTGCTTTACAGCACTTGACACCTGCTGACTCCATGATATAACGTGATTGAATTGAAACAGACAGTAACATTTTATATTGTTGTTAAATGTCAAAAGTTAGCAGCACTTTGTTAAGACTCTGTTATACAAGATAATAACGAACAACATTTCATAATTCTATTTTTTGTCATGTTATTAACAGAGTACCTTTATTGTATCCACTATCCACATAAAAAGTAAGTAAAAATCATATTGATGCATACATATGTGTACTTCCATTATTAATATTTGAGTTAATACAATACTTTTATTCTAAAAGTAGTTTCTAAGTGAAAATAAGTATTGATACAAAAACAAATCATATAGACCATACTATAATACCTGTTTCTAAACTCACGCATGTTCATTAATATTCTTAAATAAATTTGTTATAAACTAATTGTCTTCCGCATTTAAGCCAGAAGCAAAACAATCATATTTACATAATATTTTCAGATTGTACATTTGGAGGACTTTACCTTTCAAAGCATGGTCGATTTACAAAACCTGGACATGAGTCACAACAATTTGTCTGCAGTTACTAATAATACGTTTGTCGGGTTAACTTCACTTTTATGGTTGAATTTGTCATATAACTGGATAACAACCATTGCCCAAGATGCATTCAAATCATTACAATCAAGCGACATTGACCTCAGTTTTAATAGGTTACAAAGTCTTCAGGTTGAGGTTTTCTCTCATCTTACAAGCACAGCTAATGTAAGACTAGCTGGCAACTTGTGGAATTGTGATTGTCACCTAAGGTGGTTGAGAGAAGCACTGGACAATGCCACTTATACCATTGAGCTTCCGTACACTCTCAAATGTGCAACACCAGTCAAGCTCGCAGGAAAGTCTTTCATTGATCTTAAACCAAGCGATTTTGTGTGTATGTAGGACGAAATTCATTATTCTGAGTACAAATAGATATTTTATATGTCAAATTTGAACAGACTTTTATATGTAAAATGCATAATCAGATAAAATATATACTAGACACGCGGATAAGAAAACATTGTTCAAAATTTTATGTGCCATTTATTATATAACGCTTTCCAGTCTGAGAAAAAAGGGACAATCAGCATTGCGCAAAAATATTCCCTATTCCCGAACCATATTGTGTATGTTTACTGTGTAATATTTTACATGTTTGAAAAATTGTAAATAGTTATACAGGCAAAACAACATTGAAAATATAAGAATGTCATTATTACAACCGAATACACCGCTTTACGATACGATTACAATAGTAGTTAAAATACTGAATAAATGAAATTCGAAATTTTGATAGATTGTTTGATTATCAATACTTTGTTCGAAATAAGTAAGCGGCATGTGGTTTTGTAAAGGAACATGATTTTATTTTTCGAATAATTCTATATAAAAAAAAATTGAATTCAAATATAACATTGGCATCAGCATAATGATACTGACTCGAATTCGGATGGACGGTCTTTTGGTAAAACATTGTGAACACTATCACGAAATCATACAATTAACACATGTTCGACCGACTTAAACAGCATAATTAACATAAAGTCTGTCATTGTTTAAAAAGGTCTTTTTTCCCAAAAACAAAGTGAATAAAATATGTGTAGTAATCACCAACTTCAACTGCATTGAATCAAGACAAAATCAAGCTCACAATTGGCTAATAAATAGTAAATTTAATACTATTATGACCACTGGCAAGGAAACATATTCATAAACTAACAAATGAAAACGCATTACTTGTGTATGATTAACATATATATTATATTTACAGGTATGATTTCTTTTCTTATCAATCACAGTTTGAAGAGGCCCAGCACTTGGGCCTTTGTAATCATCTTGTAGATATTCAGTTGGTATTAATGACTTGTCAATATCTTTATTAATACTAACCATTGTGTTACCATGGATCTTCAGAATTTATATCAGAAAATATTAGATTTTTTTAATAATGTTGAAGGCACTAAACCAAATATAATCTTTAATGGAAATAAAGATCTGACTGACATAACAATTGAAGCGTGAGAGAAACATACTAGTATCCTTTTCGGCATTCCTTGTATCATCCCAGAAAAGGATCTCATCCAAAGGGATTCGAGTATTGTTCTGGTCGGCGCTATATGGTGTGAGTTTGCCTCTCGTAAACAGACTGTGTAAAACCCAGTCTGCAATTTCAGACCTAGTATTTGTTTATGCTTTCATTACTATCGTGGGATCTACTCTTTTCTTAATTTTAATCACTTTTAACCTAAACTATTTCATTAAACAAAAGGCCAAAGTTATACATGTACGTTTTCCCTAACCTAGTGCAATAAACGTTTTTGTCATAATCTAAATCGTTTCGGCATAGTTGACGTCGTTTCTGACACCAAATGTATTAATCAATTTTCTAAATCAACTCATGTATAATGCCGTTTATCATACAAATGCTATGTTGCAGATGTAAAAAGTTGCCCCGTATATCATCACTTCAGTATAGTTTTGTTTTGTTCTTGTCCTTTCTGATTATTGACTTTAATACTTTACTGTGTTGCAGTTTTAATGACGTTAATGCCGGTGCCCCGGAACGTAAGTCATGCTACACTTTACTTTATGTCATGAACAAAGTCAAACAAATAAAGAAAAACGAAATCCCTAAAGAACGCTAAAAAATATCAAATTAAAAATGATGCATGCTCAGTTTGATTGAACTTGTCCATGGACAGTACTGGAAAGTGCTAGTTAACGTCCACCCCTACCAGCATCGGCTTAAGCAGAATTCAAAATTTAAACTCGAATATATTAAAATTTTGAATTTAAACATCTGCAAATGTGTCCGTACGGCGGCAATCATGAAACCTTCGACATAATACTTTTGTGTCATTCCACGATTCATAATATATGTTTGCTTTCAGCTGATTGTAATGAATGTCGTTTCTTATCAAACTTACCTTTCATTTTGATCATAAAATAGAGATAATATGAATCTCTAAAGAAAGTCCGAAATGTCAAAATTGAACATATTGCAGGCTTGGTTTGATTGAGCCTAGCCTGTTTATGTACGGGACTGACAAGTGCAAACTAACGTCCACGCCCCCTAGCACCGGCTTAAGCGAATTCAACATTTAAACATGAAATAGTAAAATGTTGAATTTAGAAACATTCGCCGATGTGTTCATACGGCGGTTATCAAGAAACATTCATTGTGGCACTTCCGTGTTATTCCATGCAAAGCGGTGTATGATTTTGTAGTACACATTTTGTTTTCCTCTATTTCATTTGTAGTACACTTGATATTCAAATAGCCGATCAAATGTATCCACATTTTTGTGCATTTATTTAGATAAAATCTTTCTATTTCAAAAAGCCTATTGATGATTTGTTTCTTACTGTCATTATACTTGTAGTATTTTCACTTTAACAATTCTTAACTACGCCGCCTTTCCTTGTTAATCTTGTTCATCATATTATTTTCATTTAAAGGAATTAAACAAAACACCTAAATTGTAAACAATTTTGCATCAGATGGTTTTAAAAATCTCATGAAATCTAGACTACAATTTACTTTTGTTTTAATTATACTGTGTTTTATTTTAAAAGTACTTCAAAATCTCTGATCCCCTTTCAAAATTCTATTTCATTTAGTTACGCCCATTTGCTTCATTTAGTTTCGCCCATTTGCTTCTTGTTTAGGGCACACTCATTATTTCACGTGGGAAACATATGCCGCTTTTCAAGGAATGGCTCTAACTTATGACATTGAACGTTCCATGATAACCGCCATATGAACACTTACAGGTCATTGTTAAATTTTCATTACACACATATGTGAAATGACGTGTATTTTGACTAAATTCTTCAAACATAGTAATAGTTTACAACAGCAACCACATTTTTTAAGTATCTACAGATGCCATTCAAAATATAAAATAAACCATTCAATAATTAATTATGAGAGACTATGTCAAGATATGTCAGACTGCACGGATGTGTATGCTAATCTGGTCAGACTGCACGGATGTGTATGCTAATCTGGTCAGACAGCACGGATGTGTATGCTTATCTGGTCAGACTGCACGGATGTGTATGCTAATCTGGTCAGACTGCACGGATGTGTTTGCTAATCTGGTCAGACTGCACGGATGTGTATGCTAATCTGGTCAGACTGCACGGATGTGTATGCTAATCTGGTCAGACTGCACGGATGTGTATGCTAATCTGGTCAGACTGCACGGATGTGTATGCTAATCTGGTCAGACTGAACGGATGTGTATGCTAATCTGGTCAGACTACACGGATGTGTATGCTAATCTGGTCAGACAGCACGGATGTGTATGCTTCTCTGGTCAGACTGCACGGATGTGTATGCTAATCTGGTCAGACTGCACGGATGTGTATGCTAATCTGGTCAGACAGCACGGATGTGTATCCTTTTCTTGTTAGACTGCACGGATGTGTATGCTAATCTGGCCAGACTGTACGGATGTGTATGCTAATCTGGTCAGACTGCACGGAAGTGTATGCTAATCTGGTCAGACTGCACGTATGTGTATGCTTTTCTGAATCAGGCTTATCACTTTCGGCTCCAACATGGTACAGGTCAATTAATGTCCTATAAAGTGTAACGATATCGTCTACTGAAACAAATTGTTATTCACCAGTAGTTTGATAAGGTATCGAATGACAGTGTACATATTTCTATGGAATTTGTGTTTCATTCTTGAAGCACAACAGGTTTAAAAATATGATCATGCTTGTGTCAAATAGGATTAGGATTTAGTTGCCACGTACTTCAGTGTTGTTATATTTGTCTGGTCCTTCGGGATCATTGATGCCAGCACTATTAAGTGTTGAGAATTGAGTACCGCTTAAGCCGGTTCTAGGGGGCGTGAGGGATGTTCCACTTATTCATTATTCTTCATGTACAGACTCAATCAAACCGAGTCTGCAATTTTCATGTAATTTTGTTGTGATTAATGCTTCCGAGGGATCACTTTGTTTCCAGATTTTTGTAACTGTTCGCATGAAATAGAAATATGTTTATGATACACAACAATACAACAAGGAAATTATGAAATAAATTGCACTAGTTTGGAAGGCACAGAGCCACTTATCACCCAGTGGATACAAAAACAGTGATTTATGATTAGTGTGTATCTATCAAAACAGTACAAACTTTCATTCAGCTTTTATTTAAGATAACAATATGTACAAAAGCAATTTTTTCTTTTTTATTTATTTTTTTATCTTTCTTTTATCTCTCCTTTTCACATTTTTCTTGCATTCTTGGCCAGTAATTCAGAACAGGACAGGTAATTTATTTCCCACTCCAAAGTGTGATAATCATTTTTCCAATAAAGATACAGTTTTTAGATTTAAAATGAAAAACAACTAGAAAACAGTGCAGTGTTTGACTTAAAATCAAGTTAACCATATTTTGTTTTGAATATAAGTTTATATCAGCGTAAGATTATTTTGATGATATGCATTCCTAGATCCACTGGTATTAGGTTTCGGGTTTTTCTATTGACATATGTATACCTTGTTTAGTTACATATATGAAAAACACGGCGTGTTTACTCCTATTTCTATTAGGAGTTACGTTGGAATTTTTCAACGTTACGTTCATTCTTTGGTGATCAAATAAAATATTTTCATTCCGCAAGTTTTAAACACGGATATAAAGTTGTTGCTTTGTTCTGTTTATATGATAATTTAACCATCAACGTTTACTTCATCTCATACCACATTGCAAGTATTCTTTATAACTATTTCGTAGTGTTTTCTCTTTCATTATTATAGCATATATTATTTACTATAGACTGTGAAAAGCAATGATCATTAGATATTTTTAAGGTACCAAGACTTGGATAAATTCAAAATTAAGAACTTTCAAGCTTCAACTGTCAGTACATACGATTTTTCTACACTTTATACAACTTTTGCCACATAAATTAATCAATGATAAACTAATTTCCCTAATTCAGAAAACTTTTGCACGGGAAAAGGTTACCTTTCTAGCATGTAATTCTAACAAAGCTTTTTTACTAACGGTATTGTTAAACATTATACTATGTGGACCTGTGACGAAGTTTGTAGAGCACTCTCTTTTCTTTTAGACAACATTTATGTCAGTTTTGGTAATGCCCTATTTAAAAAGATCATAGGAATTCCAATGGGAGCTAATTGTGCACCCCTGGTCGCAGATTTGTTTTTGTACTGCTATGAAAGAGACTTTATGTTAAGTCTCTCTGAAGATAAACAACAAGATGTTATAGTCGCATTTAATAATACTTCCAGATACATTGATGATATTTTTAATTTGGATAATTCTTATTTTGATCAAATGGTGTCTGACATTTATCCGCATGAACTACAACTTAATAAAACGAACTCTTGAAACTTTAGTACATCATTTTTGGATCTTCATATTACTATCAACAACAATTCTATTCTCACGAAAATCTATGATAAAAGAGATGACTTAGATGGAGACGTACCCCATGCAACATGTTACGGGGTATATGTTTCTCAGTTGATTAGATTCGCTAGAGCTTGTAGCAATGTAAAGGATTTCAACGAGCGGAATATTTTTATTACCAGCAAGCTTCTAAAACAGTGCTACTGCTTCATAAATTACGGAAATATTTTACTAAATTTTACAATTGAAATTTTGATTTAATTACAAAATTAAACAGTGATTTAAAAACTCTTTTGCGACAAGGGATAAGCCAGCCTAGTTTTTATGGCGATGTGATTTACAAACTTCGTAAGATTTTGGGTGATGGTAATTTTTCTGCTGTTTTTACTAAAATCATTAAACGTGTTATAAATAGACAATATTTTAAGACATACTGCATGCTTAGTGTTCAACCCTTCTACAGTTGGACACCACGCTTTTCTCTTTTGATTACATCTGACGGACCAAGTGGGAGACTCTATGATGGACAGTTATTAAAGCCCTTTGGGACTGAACTGTCTTCTGCCTTGCTCCGTCGGGCCCTTGTAGGTGATTTTCTTGTTGTGCTGTCTTCCTTAAGGACATTAAGTACTTTTGTTATGGTCTTTGGGTTTACTTTTATATGTTTCTACATGATCATTTTGGTGTTTTACTTATTTAACCTTTTGTAACCATAACAACTGTTAGAATTTCACACGGCGGGGATTCATTTTAATTACACTGTCTCGTTTATAGGAACATGGTTGGCTAAGAGCGAGGTTTGGTGCACCATTAACCGGTTTAAACTCACCAGCATTCATTTTTATGCTGCTGACCTTTCCAGGGCGGCGCCCTCTGTGTGTCCCCAGATGTATGTCTATGTTGTTTCATACTGTTTTGGTGACACTTTTTCTGGTGTCCCTTGTTGTTTTCTCGTCTACGGTAAGTATCTTCCCATTTGCACATAGTTTTTATTTCTTTAATTACCACCACCCCCGGTCTACTGTCCCTTCCCATGTGCCCTTTGACTTTGTGGCCCTGTTGTTCGATCCTTTATTTGTTTGATTTCCTTATCAGTTACAAATTATGTATCATTTTAGTGATTTAACTGCCCTATCCTGTTTTTCGTTTGCGGTCCACCTGGGCTCCTTGCCACTGGCTCTTGTTGCTAGGTCGTGTGGGGGTTGCGTTCATTGAACGCCACCTTTCCTTGTTGATCTTTTTTATCATATTTTTTGCCACTTGCCACTCACCTGTGGGATCAAGTCTTGTCATGGACTTGGAATTCTTTTATATGATTAAGATATCCAGCTAGCTTATTGAAGATCGGTTGTTCTACTCAGATGTCCGTTTGTGTCTGAAGTAATGCACGAAGGAGCACATGAGGTCTTCCTTCAACAGTAAGGATGCAAAGGTGCCATATGACCTTTAAAATGTTGGTATGACATAAAACCCAACAACAATAGAAAAATAATTTTTCTACTCATTTTATCAAAAATTCTATTTTTTTTCTTTTCAGAACTATGTCTGTAAGACGATTTTCCTTTTTCCTATACATGTTTTGTCCGTTCATCATTCAAGTTGGAACCAAAAATGTCACGTGCCCTGCTTCATGTGAATGCGACACTTTCTTTGGTAAAAAAGAAGTAGGTTGTGCTAACCTCACTGATGTTCCGTCAAATATTCCCGAGGACACCAATTGGCTAGATTTAAGTGGGTGTAATATATCCTACATTCATATTCAGCCGCTGGAAAAGCTCTTCAAATTACAAATCTTCACCTTTCAGGAAATAAATACAAATGATGAGAATTATAATCTTACAGCCTTGGACTTGCCACTTCTGAATGAAATAGTCGTCGAAGGCGGCGTTTCAACTTCTATCCCACAGCTGTTACCATCTTATATTGGTGAGCTTAGTGTAGCATATAACAATCTAGGCACTCTAAAGTCTAAAATCTGGTAGTTTTAAGAACTACCCAAACTTAGAAACGTTATTATTGTGGGACTGTATGTTAATGAAATTAGAAGCTGATGTGTTTGATGATATTCCTTCTCTTTCAACACTTGAGTTTAATAGAAACAATCTAAAAGATGACAGTTTTCCGTTGGATGTATTCAAGAAAAACCAAGCACTAGACTCTGTTTCATTTTTTGCAAATGAATTGAAACACGTAGTGTCCAATCTTCCAAGTTCTGTTACAAGTGTCGATTACAGCGCTAATACCATATTTGAGCTTCGAGCTTACGACTTCAAATCTACGCCGAATCTGATATACCTGTATCTTCAACAGAATATGGTATGAAAATTACTTTTAATATTAAAATGTCATCGTTGTTAGTTATACATGTATATAAAACCAGGCAAATATAACTCTGAAACAATCGCAAAACAAACAAACAAACGAAAACGCGAACAATCATAGATATTTTACAGATATCGTAATTTCCTAACTTCATACCAAACCATCCACAAACAACAGCCCATCAATGTTATATTTATACCAGAGTTGCATTTGATGGGTCAGACATACTAATCTCGTTGGATTTGAGTTACAATAGCAATAAAGTATAGCAGTAGTAGTGTAGTTGATAACGGTGCATTTAGAAAACTGTTGTCTTGACATGATTTCAAACTAGATTAATAAACATCCGCAGATGTATTCATATGACGGTTATAATGAAATCATCATTTTATTACATTTTGAGTATGGACCATTTAATTCTAGCAAAATTTAGATCAATTTTAGTTTTTATTGCACAGTGAAAATTTAAACAGGATCATTTGATCCATCTTTTCTAAGTGAACACAGGGCCGTCTAAACTATGCATTTTCATATAAATTATTAAATAAATTATTTGTTCTTCCGCATTTCTGCATGAAGCAGAACAATCACTGTTACATATTATTTTGAGATTAACCATTTGGAGGACTTTACGTTCGCAGGGTTAACTTCACCTTTAGAGCTGGATTTGTCATATAACTGGATAACAGCTATTGCCAAAGATGCATTCAAACCATTAAGATTGACCTCAGTTTTAATAAGTTACAAAGTCTTCAGGCTGAGGTTTTCTCTCATCTTACAAGCAGTGCTAATGTAAATGTAGGTGGCAACTTGTGGAATTGTGATTGTCACCTAAGGTGGTTGAGAGAAGCACTGGACAATGCCTGGACCTATACCATTGAGCTTCCGTACACTCTCAAATGTGCAACACCAGTCAAGCTCGCAGGAAAGTCTTTCATTGATCTTAAACCAAGCGATTTTGTGTGTATGTAGGACGAAATTTCCTTTTCAAATATATATTTTATATGTCAAATTTGAGCAGACTTTTATATGTAAAATGCTTATTCAGATAATAATTATGTACTAGACACACGGATGAGAAAACGTTGTTCAATGTTTCATACTTCATTTATTATTTTACTTTTTCCCGTCGGAGGAACAAGAGGCAATCTTCATAACATAAAATATCTCTTTTTCTCGAACCATATTTTGAATGTGTAACACATCATATCTAATACTACAATTTGCATGTTTGAAAATTTGTAAAGAATTATACAGGCAAAACAACATTGAAAAAATATAATATTGTTTGAACCGAATACACAACTTTGCGAGTACAATAAAATATTTTGAGAAATTCTAGATCCTGAGTTGCAATAACATATAATAATACTTAAAATACTGAATAAATGAGGTTTAGAAGTTTTGAAAGATTTTGATTGTTGTATTCTTTGTGCCATCCAGTTAAGGATCTCAACAAAAGAGATTGGAATATTTGTTTGGCCAGTGCTACAGTACGTGAAAGTTTTTACACTTTCAAACTGAGTATAGCCTAGTCTTCAATTTTATAGCTAGTATTTGTTTATGCTTTCAAGACAAAGGTCTATGTTCTCCATCATATAGTGCAATAAGTGTTTTGACATAATCGGAATCGTTTTTGACGTCGTTTCTGGCATCAAATGAATCGAATTGATCTTTATCAATTTTCGAAATCAACTCATGTTTAATGCCGTTTATCATACAACTGCAGGTGTCAATGATTTGTGGCAGTTGTAAAATGTTGCCCTGTATTTCTCTCCAGTATAGTTATATTTTTGATATTTTGATAATTCATTCTAATACTTCACCGTGTTGCTGTTTGATAACGTTAATACAGGTGCCACGGAACCTAAGTGACGTTACACTTTACTTTATCTCTTATGAACAAATTCCAGTACCGTCCATGAACAGACATAATGAAAAAATGATGAACAAAATGAACGCAATCCCCAAATGACCCAGCAACAAAGGACTATCGGCAAGGAGCCAAGCAGGAACCCCAACAAAAAAACAGGGTAGAGCACAAGGCAAACTTAGCCTGCATTGTTTTAAATTTTGCCGTGTTTGCCGTTCTTCGGGGATTATGTTTTCCTCTGTTTCATACAATTTCCGATACATCCCGTGTAAAGCTATCTTTTTACCATGGACATTCACCCTCGACATTATAATAGCTCAAATGTTTTATTCTCTGTCTGTTTGTTTGTTGTTTTTTGTTTGTTTTGTTTTTTTTGGTGGGGTGGGGTAATTTTAAGTCAACTGTCCTTAACGAATAACTATTTTGCAATAAAGGATATGAATATTTTAATAAAATATATTAAATCATACATATATGCACAGTGCGTGTGCTGGAATACAGATATAGTTACCCGCACTCCAGAGCATTGGCCCATTTTTTCTGAGGTATACTTATTTGACAACAGAGAAAAGGATAGCGATAGAAATATCGTATTCAAAACCTCGTTCATTGGTTTCTTTTTCTCGGGTTTCAACATTATTGTGACAACATGAAACGTGTTCTACTTTTTGCCTATGAAATAAAAGAGAAAAACATCAAAACACTAAGGAACAAATCAGATAGCCTCGTGTTTCGATGCTCTTTCTATTATATAACGTTTTCGAGGGCGTTTTGTTATGTCTCACAATACTTTATTTTGATGGTAATATAACATACAGAAGGTCATTGTTAAATCTGCATTACACACATTATGTGAAATGACGTGTATTTTGACTAAATTCTTCAATCAGAGTAATAGTTTACATATAGTAATTACAAAAGCAAAAACAAGTACAATCACATTTTTAAGTCTTAATCCTACACATGCCATTTAAATTTTGAATATGTTCAATACAGAGATAGAGTTAGCTTTTTTTTACATTATATCAGTTTTAGTTTTGTTTTGCCAAGCACATTGGGTTACGAGTATATGAGCTTATAAACACGAGGTGTTAAATTGTACATACAGCATACCCTTAATTTAATGATAACGAAAAGCGTTTGTAGGTAATTATAAAGAAGAAAACATATACAATTAACTTAATGATAACGAAAACTGAATGTAGTTAATTTGAAGGACATCTTTACCTTTCTAAAGATGAACGTTTTTCATAATTTATATAGTACAATCAAGATTTTATCGCCATTTTTATAACATAAACTTATTGAAACATAATCATACGGCTTTACTATACTATTACATTTTATTTCTCTTCTCCTTGTCTATTATTTATATCTGTCACTCAAAGTTACTATAGTTCATTAAAAAATATTGTTAACCCTTGACCTGCTGAATATTTGTAAAATACTTATTCCGGTTCCAAGTCAATATTGGAACTGAGCCTGGTCAGACTGCACGGATGTGCATGTTAGTCTAAATCTATACTGGTGACAAAGGGTTATCATTTTCAGTTCCAACAGGGAACACGTTAAGCATGTCTTATAAAATGTTATTATATGATGTTCAGTTATGTTCACCCTACTCAGTAGTTTGTAACGCTATTGAATGACAGTGTACATATATTTTTTGTGTTTGTTTTTTGTCTGATAATTTCTCGTTTATAAATTTAGTGAATTGTTTGGAAAAATAAGATGTTTTGTTACATATGATATACTATACATAAGTACAAGTTTGTTAGAAAAAAGGTGAAAATTGGAGAAACACCAATTACCTTAGTATTTCCGTGTTTGGCTTTCTTTAATGATTCTGTTTTTCTCTATATTATTTTGTTGGTAGAAATTATGGCCATTTAAAGCATTGTGAATTAAAAGTTAATTTATAAAGCATTCCTGATCATTTATACAATCTATACATATTTAAAAGAAGTACCGGAAGCAACAGAAGGTATCACACTACCTATTGCAGTATATTCAAACCACATTTATTGCATTGAGATTCTTTGCGTATATCACAGTTTTTTTTCCAAAAGAATTCAGCAAACAAATATTGGTAGATAAGCAAACTAAAATTGATAGATAACTATAAATTAAAGATTGTTAAAATAATGAAAAAGTTCCGAGAAAATAGTTAAACTAATGCTATATGTAGACATTTATTAAAGATCTACTGGTAAGTATTTGTGACCCGCATTGGCCAGCCTGTGTTGAAGTGTAAAATGCATCTTTTATTTCCTCATTATTTGGAGATCAAACATTTTGGAATATTATGAATGAAGATAACTCTATGATTCATTCTACAAACTAGAGTGACACACTTTCAGAGTTTGTTATATTTCATTGCAGTCGAAATGTTAGCAGACATGCAGAGCGTTGATTTCCGTGAATATATAAAACATCTCTCCAGTGACAAATATGGAGTGGACTTAAAAGAACGTAAAAATGATGACACACCAGTTGCTTCGTTTAGAAAACTAAATATAGACTGACAAGATCTTACATGTGACATTCGTGCAGTTTCGTTACAAGTATTTAAATGGGATTATTTGCATTGCGTATTTTATACATATATTAGTATTTGACAACGTTACAATTGATTATGTATAATGAAAAGTAACGTATGTCAATAAGACTGAAAACGTAACATAATGCTTAAACAATATAAGAGGCTCGAAATGTTGCAGGGGTTTAATAAGCTACATGAGATTCAAAACGTTACCAGTGGTGACAAAAATGATCATGTCGTTAACTTTTTTGTTCATTATTTCTTATGTGCAGGTAAAAGATTCCACGATGCAAAATATATGTTTATTTTTATGCAACTTTCTTCTGATTTTAATAATTTCGTTTATTACGAATCCTACTTTTCATCTGAACATCTATATATTTTTATTAGGACATATAGTGAACTTTTATTAAGATTTAAGTTACCGGTTAAATGTATCCAATGGATTCTTTTGCATTTCATTAGATAGGTTAAGACATAAAATCCTTCAATTTTCAGATAGCCTTTTGATGCTTTGGTGTCTATGAATGTCTATGTGCTCCTAGTTTGTCCACTTCAACATTCATTTGATTGTAAAGAATTTTTACAATCCCCAAAAATTATACACCTTTTATTGTTTGGTTATAAAAATCTCCTGCGATCTATGCTATAATTTAGCTTTGTTTGTATCAAACTGTGGCCTATTGTCAGACGCTAGCATTTATTTTCCCATAGACTTACTTTATGAGAGATGGTCACTTATCCTACCTTAAATTTGAGTTTTCCTGCTGAAGAAGTGATTTTTCTAGGAGAATGAAATGCCTGACACATAAAAATGACGTCAGACGCTCGCATTGATCATATTATATAGGAGTATTCAACCAAATTTGTTTGCAAAATAACTTCAAATAGCATTACCCACCTTTTAATTGAAATTTTCTGCTGATCACTGGACTGACATACACTGTTTATAAATGCAAATATCCAAGTTACCAATTATCATAGAGACTTTTGCAATATTTCATTTTCTTAAGAAAACAATATAGTATTAGTTTCTTAATTAGTTTTCATACTAAAACATTCCATTTTCTTCCAATCACCTCATGTCCCACTGAATCTTACGGTTTCCCTTGCACTTGTTTCAGCCAATCGCTGGCGATGTTGCAATGCGAAAGTATGACCTGCATTGGGTGTTTTATTGTTTGTAAGTGTATAAAGCTGTATCTTATGAAATATTGCTATAAAATTATTCAACAGTAAAATTATATTGCTGAATCTTATGGTCGATTCTCGAAAGAGTTGTAACATGGAAAATGTGCATGAATATTTTACTTGAACAGAATAAATTCTTCTTGAATATAATATCATTTTCCTATTTAAAGTAGGGTTTTATCCTTTAAGT